ATTGGTTCTGCTGACCTAGCCAAAACTTACTCAATGTTTTGAAGTGGCAATAGTCTGTCCAGCGTATGAATAAACCTTGAAAAAAGGAAAGTCTTCGCCGTTGATCAATCCCTTTGTGGGATGCGGCACGCATTCTACTTCCAGAATCGTAGTGGCTTATTGAATGCGATGTGGCCTATACAATGACTTGCGGTGGCCAGCCGATGTACAAGTCAGTGTTTTATCCTCCCAGACGAATCTGGTACCAATTACCGTCCCGGAGGGTAGAAGGCTTGGTTGGCCTGGGCGGGAGTCGACCCGGGATTTGAACCCGGCGCCGCGCGAGTGGTCGCGCCACTTACCACGGAATAAACCTTACTTTTTCAGAATTGAAAGCTGAAGGAGTGAAGAAGACGAATTTGTTCGAGATTCTTACCTACACTAAACCTCACTGGAAAACAATTGTGGTAGGAATGACAGCTTGTGTCATCGGAGGACTCGTCTATCCCACATATTCTGTGGTGTTCATGCAAGTGATTTCGGTAAGCAAGTAGGATATAATAATTTAATCACTAAGAAGTCAATAGATTCCTAGACTCGATACAAAGGACCTTAACGAGCTGAGAGTTGTCCCCCCCCCCTTTCAAAGCTCATGCGTATGATTAAAGTTAGCACGGGCCGCAAGATCAGTATGAGCTGCACTTTCGAAGCAGGGTATATTTAATGTCCCGTAGACAAATAAACTACCAGTCTCATTGGAAACACTTACGAGTGTAGGCTGACCCATACTATAATCCTATTCTCAACCAAAAGTCTCAGAATTTCAGTCGTTCTCGAATACTTCGTCTCTGCTTTCCACGGGACATTTCTGGGCTCTGATGTTTCTCGTGTTGGCCGCTATTCAAGGATCCACAATGTTCTCACAGGTGAGAAACCTTGGTGTTCTCGATGGCCGTTCCATCTGGGAGTTATGTTCAGATGCCAGTCCAGTGCCTTCGGCACATTGAGCGAATTCGTACTTTACCGCAGCCAGAATGTACACTCTACTTCGCTGCGGACGGTTGGGCGTGTCAGCCAGTATGAGTGTGTCACCCTCTTTGAGCTGTTCTCTGCCTTCTTGTTGAAACGGGCATGCGACAAAAAGCAGTAGAAAACAAGTATTACGAAAAGGTATGATACAGTATTGTCATTTGCTCGCTTCAATACACGTGGAGAACGAGTTTGGCACCCGGCAAAACGCCGAGAACCGACACGAAAACGCCTCAACGTCGCAATCATCACCCATATGATATAATTGTTTGCTTTGTTTGTTAGTTTGTTTGTTTGTTTGTTTGTAAGTTTGTTTGTAAGTTTGTTTGTTTGTAAGTTTGTCTGTCCGGAAATTCGGTTCGACCTGAAGAACGACTTGGAGAGGTCCGGTCAAGGTGGGGATGGGTAGGGCGTGGGACAAGAAATAAAAAGCACACTTGACCTAAGGGAAGCTCCGCCCACAGTGGGCGGGCACTCCCCGAAAGTTTGGGGTTCCGCACAAAAATGTTCATAATTCGCTTCCGGGGCAGCCTAAAGATGGGGGGAAAAAGGGGAATAAGGGTTTGAGGTAGGAGTCGCGAGGACTAATCGTGTGGCAGGTACAGCCTACATGGGGGCGGGGGGGGGGTGGGGGGGTACTCAAGGGTGGCGGTGCCTTCTCGCAAATCGTAATCTCGTGGTGTCGTCAGAGGTTGGAAGTCGCCAGAAAGCTCAGTTTAGGAAGTGTAAATTATCTGGGTCGAATTAGGTGAGGGGCACGTCAAGCATGTTGAGACTCCGCCCACAGTGGGCGAGGCTCGCCCTAATGCGGGAGGGGGGGGGTATTTATTTTAAATGGTTGTAGTCTCGGGTTCCCAAACACCTCCAATATCCATGGAAAAATGGATGTAAGTTCAGCGGTATGGGGTCGTTCGGTATAAGATTGTAGGGCAAAAAATTGTGGGCGGAGCCTGCTCCGAGGTGGGCGGAGCCAGACAAAAAAGGTCTGTAAAACGGTTCCAGAATACTCCAGACACCGGAAAAAAGTGGATTAAGGTCAGCAGAGGGTCGTCGGTGAGGATTGTGGGGCAAAAACATCGTGTGGTTGGGCTTGAGCCTGCTCGGGGGGTTGGGCGGGTGGGTGGGGGGGGGTGTGGGGGGGGGGGGGCGGTGGGGGGGCGGGTGGGGGTTTGGGGCACAGCACGTCATGGCGGTGCGGTCGTGGGCGGCCGCCGCGGTCCCCCCAGCACCAGTGGGCGGGGCCCGGGCCGGCCGCCCGCCCTCGGCCCACCGGCAGGAGTCAATTAGAAAAGATCTGCAAAGACGCGGGCGTGGGGGGGGGGCTCCCAGCCGCACTCAAAGACGGCGGGAAAAAGTCGAGTAAGGTCAGTCAAGGAGATCGGCGGTGAGGATTGTGGAAAAACGATTGTTGGGCGGAGCCTGCGCTTTCGAGCGTGGGCGGAAGATAAACAAAAGATCTGTTAAAAGACGGTTCCAAGAAGACTCCGACACCGGAAAAAAGTGGATTAAGTCAGCAGGGGGTCGTCGGGGGGGTGAGGATGTGTGGGGGGGGCAAAAAACTTGGGCGAGCGTGCTTCCGAGGTGGCGGAGCCGGAGTCAGAGAAAGATCTGCAAACGGCCCCAGCGCCTCTTCAAGACGACCGGAAAAAAGGTGGCAATCAAGGATCAGCAGAGAGCTCGCGGGTGAGGATGCGGGGCAAAACATTGTGGGCGGAAGCCTGCCTCCGAGGTGCGGTGAGCTCACGAGAAAAGTATCATGCAAAAACGGCCCCAGAGCACTTCAAAGACCGGAAAAGTGGATCAAGGTCAGCAGAGGGTCGTCGGTGAGGATTGTGGGGCACAAACATTGTGGGCGGGGCCTGCTCCGAGGTGGACGGAGTCAGACGAAGAATCTGTAAAATAGCTCAAGAGTACTTCAGACATCCTGTGAAAAATGGCAAGTACAGACAAAAGGGGTTTATATCAGCTTGAATACTAGAAAATATAGTTGAGAGGAAGGCACGCGTGGCGAAGCGCCGCCCGCCGGCGCAGCCGTGGATATCAGAAGAGCCACGCCGGCGTCAAGCCGGCAGGCGACTGGTGAAACTTAATGTACGCTAGATAAGAAATAGTAGAACGTACAGTCCTCATCATTGCGGACCGGTGGGGCGTGTCAGCCAGTATGAGTGTGCACACTGTTGAAGCCGTTCTCAGCCTTTTTGTTGAAACGCGTATGCGACAAAAAGTGGTAGAAAACGAGTAATACGAAGGATATAATACAGTAATGTCACTTGCCCGCTTCAACAAGGTAGCGTTTGACAGAACGACATTCGGCACCGCCGCCAAACGCCGCATTGACGACGCCCATTCGGTCCGCATAAGATGAGGACTGTAAATTCATTAACACCTTCGAAGCGGCTCGGCTACTCCCGGCTGGCTCACGCGGAAACCCCTGTTTTCGGTCATTCGTACAGTTCTGCGAAAACACGCACATATTTTTTTTGTTCTTTTTGCAACTGATTATATTCTACTAGGTAAGCATTTACACAACTAACACATCAGTACGAAGAAAAAAAATAGTAAAAATAAGCCAAAAACAACAACGAACGTGAGTTCTGAGCGAAATGGCCTTCGCCTCGGATGTGTTAGGCACTGATTCCAGGCTCTTATTTCAGAGTTTTTGTATGCTTTAGATTCTTATTTTGAGCAGCTAGATACCTAAATGGATTATGATTTAAAGCGTAGAACAGCTTCTCTAAGGCTCTTTGAACATTTATATGGGTTGATTGAATCACATCATTGTACCGCTCCAGCTAGCAAGTTGGAAGAGAACGGGCGACTGATGCAGGTCGTTTCTAGTTCCCGCCCCACCTAGCGACCACGGACCGTACCTCTAAAGTCAGGGGCTCGATAGACGTGAGAGGGGTAAACTCTTCTTGCAGGAGACTTATCAACTTTGTTGCTAGAAGGAGCTACGAAGAGTGAATGGAAGGAACTCTTCTCTTCTCCATCAGTAAAGTTTAGTGCCAGAACGCAGAGCGGGGCCTACGTGTTAAAACAAAGATAGAGGGCTCACAATTCTGGGGAGGCTTTTCGCAGTTTCATTGAGAACAACCTTACCTGGTATTATTTTTTACTCTCGTCATGCGCAGGTGCGACAGTAGGCCGGATCGGGAGCACGGTACGCCGATCATTGTTGGCATACATCTAAAGGAGGGTCGTACCATTGATCGCAGGGGTAGGGGAGGAGACGGTGAGGGGATCTACAGAGCTACTATCCTCCGTGGTTGGTAAAAAACAAAAAACGAGTGTCAGTTACCTAGACGACTCCGCTCCCTCTAATGAGGAAATTCTGGGGGCCTGAAAAGCTAGAACTTGTCCGGAAAAACTGGAAAAAGTTGTAGGAATTTGGGAAAACCTAGGAAAGTGGTAGGTAGGATGGGGAGGGGGAGGGGGGTCGTATTGAGGATGGAATTAGGGGGGAGGGTCGTATTTTTCAGGAATTTATCACAACGCGATGGCGTGCCCTGACTCAGGAGGCGGGATATGAACCCACCTACGGTGTTTTCTACCGCCGGTTGTTCTCCTTCTGAGCTGATCATCATGACAGAAAACAAAGCTGCCTACTCCTGACTGATTGCTACTATATCAACTTTATCTACCTCCTCCCCCATCCCCTCTCCCAGCTCGACTGTAAGTTTTCTGGAAGGGTTGATGAGGGCAGTTGTGAAAGAGACGTAGGCAGTTGTGAAAGTGACGTGAGGAAATTGTAGGGGGGGAGGGTGATCGCACCTGGCAAAACGCTTGAAAACGCGATGTTGTCCACTGCGCCAGGGCTGCGATTGGAAGATGGTGTCGCGCCCCATTAGAAGGAAGACGCTCACGTAGAGTATAGCACGAAAAAGAACAATTTCACACTAGCATCTCTAGCCTTTTGTTGTCTGGTCTCTCGTGCGTGCACTCATTATTTCGTAACCGTACATCGCAAACCGATACTTTTTCAGACGTTCTTCATGGGTTACGGAGCTGAGAATCTTACGATGGACTTACGTTCAAAATTGTTTTCCAACATTTTGTCGCAGGATATGGGTTATTTTGACTCACCCCTGCACGCTTGTGGAAAGATATGCACACGATTGGCTACTGATGTACCAAATTTACGATCAGTAAGTGTCTTTTTTATGATCATCCCTCATTTTGAACTGATTTTGATCTCAAAATAAATTCTTCTTTTAGTTCTAAGCCTTGATACTGGGATTGTCGACAATTTGGTCTTATGTGCACGCCCATTGCCCACCTCGTCCACAAGGTGATGATCTCAAGAAAGATCCTCCCAATAGTTTCAAAACTTGGTACTGTAAATGGTCGACGATGTGGTCTTTTAATGTGGACGTCCATTGCCTATCTCGTCCACCGAATTATGGGAAGAGGGTCTGGGTCATGTCCCGCAGGATAATATGAGGACGGAGGTGCTCAGAAAACAAGGAATTCCCTCACCGTCCCAGTGTGCCCTGTCACCGAAGTTGAAGGTGACACGGATGGTCCAGGATACTGTAGGCAGATGGCGCATAAATCATGCGGCCACAGCCATCGTTGTGTGAAACACAAGGGGGGGGTCGGGTCGTATTTGGGGTGGAAGACAAATTTATTTTGATAGTTGATTTTTTCTTGTGGAAAAAGGGGGTCGTATTAATTCGTATTAATTTTTTGTGTTATATGCACCCTGTACACCCGCCGGATATACGTTGCATAGTTATTGTATACCCCCCCCCCCCCCCCCCCCCCCCCCCCCCCCCCCCCGCTCGACGACTTTTTCGCCGACTATATACTCATCGCTCGTCAGTCGGCGAAAGAGCCGGTCGAGCTGAGGGGGGGGGGGTCGTCGTGGCGTGGACCCCATTCGGAGGGGGGTCGTACTCACACGACATTCGCCTATACCCATATGCTGTACCTACGCATAATGCTCTATACGCTAGGACTCAATTTTTATCATGCACAGTTTTTAATGTTTGGGCTACATTTTCATTGGAGTGTATTCCCGTGTGAATTTATTCTTGGCCGAAAGTTTTCTTGAGGAAAGTTCACACCCTGACAGTGATTATCCAACTTCTATTGGCGCGAAATGTCTGGCGCCAAACATTTTAATGTGGATGTCTTGAAAGAATGAATTGGCAATTCTCCTGAACAACTGAGCTTCTGCAATTCTAGGCAATCGATTTCCGTCTGAGTACGGTAATCATGACCATGATTTCAATGATTGCTGGTATTGTGTTGGCATTTTACTATGGGTGGCAAATGGCGCTACTGGTAGTTGGAATACTTCCACTGCTCGGTGCGTGTTTTTTTTGCCTCAGAGGTTTTCAAGCAATTTTTCTCAATTAATTTTTTGTTTATTTTAGGTTTTGGGCAAGCTTTGCGTGTTCGTGTGATGGGTGGTAAGCATCGAAAAAATGCAAAGGATTTCGAGGATTCTGGAAAGGTAGGTCTACGAAGGGCACTCGGTGCTTACTGTAACGTAGAACGGGTCAGAAAGGAACAGCCAGCAGAATCAATGTTTTCGTGCCACTCACTAGAGGGGGCAGGGGTGGGGAAGGGGAACCTCTGGTGCACTTTAAAGTGCTTACGCATTACATGAGAGTCGAATGTGATGCGGAATGTCGTCCAACCACTTTTGTATCTCTGGGTCAGCTCATCAGTGCAAGTCCTGTCTGTAAGAATACAATTTTCAACCTACACATCTGCCTTACAGCCATTCGATTTCTAGACAGAAGCTTCTGGTGTTGCTCAGCTTGCGGAGCATCACGCAGAGGCGCGATCAGGTGTAGTGGTGAGCAGAGAATACAGAAAAGTCGACTATCGGCGAGAATTACTTCAACCAATGTCCCGTCTGTTGCAGAAATGACGCAAGCAGCTCTTACGCAAAAGTCATAACGTTATAAGCTCACAACCAAGTTGCTGGCAATTTTCCAAACCTTCGTCGTCCTCACTTTATAACCTTTGCGTGAGAGCTGTTTATGTCTCCCAATGGAAGGCGACTATTTCGTCATTGACTGAAGTTTCACTGTGATAATCGACTTTTCTGTACTCTCTGCTCACCACTACCACTAACTCACCTATAAGCATCCACTGTTTGTTCAATCCTCTTTTCTCTCTTTTTCCTTCCACATAAAAGCGGCTGCTGATTGAGCACAGTGGCGGCAACGCAGGCCATCGGCTTCGCTCCGCCTGCCGCCGCGGTGACGTCAAAAAACCGCGCCGCATACGCGTGAGTTTTTCCCTCCTCCGATTTTCAAGGGAAGGATTGTATTTGGCTCTGGGAGGAAACCGAATTACAAGGTGAATGTTTCCAGTTGTTGATTTTTCCTTTCCGCGTCTGTTATACACCACCTCTTCCGCTTACGTAGGCACCTCCTCTGCGCTGATACCACCTCTTCTCTGGTGGACGAACTAAATAGGACAGTGGATGGGTTGTGAAGAGAGCACAGCACATCATCGTTGGGGATTCCCCAACAGGGGGTTGTACCTGGTCGCTGGGGAGCTTGTCGTATTTTTTCTGATAAAATTTTTTTAATAGTTGATTTTTCTTGTTTTGTGCTAGGGGGTAGGTCGTATTCCCCCTGCTCTACAGCCAAATTCTGAGGAGAAAGTAGGAAAATTTTTGGAAACTCCCGGAAACCACGGGAGGAAGTTAGGAGAATCTGGGTTGGTAGGTAGGAGGGGGAAGGGGTGAGGGGTCGTATTGTCCTCCCCAAGCTCGACAGCTCAGTCGTATCAGAGGAGGGGGAGAAGGAGGCTCCTATCAGGCCATATTTTAGGTGGAGACTCGACCAAAACCCCCAGCTGATGATGTGCCCTGGGAAGGGAAGCAGGTCCAACACCATCGTTTCATCCACACCTCGCTTACCGCCTGGCGCGGCTATACCAGGTCCTATCATATTCTGCTGTGACATCTATACGGGTATAGTTGATTGTCGCAGCTAGTCGGGAAGGCGTCACGAAACATGAAATGAACATGAAATGAGCCCTCCTGCTGCGTTTTTTTTACCACTACTACTGCGTATTTGCTCATTTCACACCTTTGTCACTGCCCGGACTGATTGCGACGATATCAACTATTCACCAGAGAAAATGTGGCATTAGATGTCGCAGCATAATGCTCCCACAACCCCAGTAACACTGATTTCTTATCATTGGCATAACACCTTTTTTGAATCGAAAACTCAGCTAGACTCCTCCAGGACCGACTCTCTCTTAATATTATCATATCAGCTAGGACTGTGTGTTTCAATTTTGAGGACGAAGAGACCTGCGCTTCCTGCTACTTGCAAGCTATGACAGTGCGGAACCGATTACAAGCACTGCACAGAAACTAAGAGATCTATTCACCTTAACCAAAGATCGGCTAAGCTTGATGTTTCAGGTTGCTATGGAAGCAATTGAGCATGTCCGAACAGTTCAAGCGCTCACCAAAGAGGAAGCATTCCATGAGAAATTCTGCAATTATCTCGACGCTCCTCATCATGACGCCCTTCGTGAATCATTCATTCAAGGACTCGCCTATGGGTATGTTAACGATGCTGACCAGCACTAGCTGGTAAACTAAGAAATTGTAAATTGTGAGCGTAATTCAGGAGAACGAAGTCACATCGCATTTGAACTAGCATCACTGGTCATTTGACTCGATCACGCATTTTAGCGCATTTTAAAGGCAGTGGCACGATGATTTGGTGCTCGCCAAATATTAGGTTGTCCGGAAAGTTCTCAGCGTTTTGGGTGTTTCACTTTAAACGATCGTAACTTTTTTAATACTCATCGGATTTAATCGAAATAGGCACCATTCGAATCAGCACACTTTTGCCAATGTGACAGCAGTCGAGAAATCCATCAAAAAAACTGGGTGGTCGAGAGTTCACGAAATCCACGAAGGCTTTTTTGCCTGGTCCTGATTGATGAAGTATTTTCCAGCAAGGGAGTTCTGAAAATGTTTGAAAAGGTGATAGTCGGTTGGCGAAAGGTCTGAAGAATATGGCGGTTGAGGTAGAACTTCAACCCCCAATTCGTTCAATTTATGGATAGTGATTTGTGAAACGTGGGCGGGCGTTGTCATGCAAAGGAATCGGACCCTTTCTTTTGATAAGTGTTGGCTGCATCTGACAAAATTTTCGGTACAATTCGTCGATTTCTTCACAGTAGGGTTCTGCTGTGATGGTTTGGCCTGGTGATAAAAAGTTATAGTGGATCACACCAGCCGATGACCACCAAGCCGTGACCAGAATCTTTTTTTCGTGAGGGTTCGGCTTTGAAAATTACCTCGGTGGTTCGTCGAAATCCAACCACTGTCCGGAACGTCTCCTGTTATCATACATGACCCATTTTTCATCACAGGTGACAATTCGGCCCAAAAACAGGTCGTTTCTGCTGCGCAAAAGCAATGCAGAAGGAACCTCGAGACGTGCCGATTCCTGCCGGTCACTCCGATTGTGGGGCACCCAATTGTCGAGTTTTTTCACCTTCCCAATGCGTTCCAGACCATCTGCAACAGTGGATTTGCCAAGGCCTAGCTCTTCTGCTATCTCTCGAACTGTTTGGGATGGGTCAGCCTCCAAAATCCCCCTAAAATCCTCAGATATTGCTTTAGGTCGACCGCTATGAGGTTCATCTTCAAGGCTGAAATCTCCAGAACGAAATTTGTTGAGCCATTGCCGCACAGTGCTTTCTCTAGCACTATTGGGCCCCCACACCTGGTTAATTTGTTGAGCTGTTTCGATTGCGGATTGCCCCAATTTATAGTCGAAGAAAAAAATCGTCCGAAGTGCTCTTTTCACATGCTTGAAAAAATCTTGAAAAAAGGGGTTTATCAAGCAATGGTGAAACGGCAATTATACCATCAGATAGCGCAAGAAATTCTCTACAGGATGTGCTACTGAGAAGCAAGGCAGAATGAGTTTTTAATCAGCAGTGAATGTACAAAAAATAGGTGCACAAAACGCTGAGAACTTTCCGGACAACCTAATACTTGTAAATTAGGGTGTTGTTCGGGAGAACCAAGCCACATGGCATTTGAACAAGCATTACTGGTCATTGCGACTTGATCACGCACTTAAAGGCAGTTGGCACGATGATTTGGTGCTCGGCCTAAAATGCTAGTAGGGCGCTATATAGTGGGGAAATGGCGAAAGAACGGAGTGAAACGGTCAAAATCCTGCGAAGAAAGAGCCTCCGTTCTCATGTGTTAGAAATCGATTTTGGACGAGTTTCCTGTAGGCATCTTGCCAATAACCGCTACCGAAGGTACGGCTGCATATGTGTACCCATATATGCATGCAGCATCACGGCCGCTTCATACCAATCCCTTCGCTTCATAATTTGCTTAGCAAATGAATCGATTAGAGCGTCAGGAACGGTCGTCCATTTGTGGGCGGGCGGCGTGGCGGGCGTTTGGGTCGGTATGTTGTGGCTTGATAGGGCCCTTATAAGGGCACCTCCTTGGAAAAGGCATTATGCAGCGCCTGCTCAGGGTCGCGGAATTCCGTCCTGCCAGGCGTATTAATCCTACTCGTCTTGGGGGATTTATCGTGCCAACTGCCTTTAAATTGAGCTGTTTAACAGAAGTCAGTCTGGGCGTGTAAACAGCGCGTGCGTTTTGACGCGGCTCCTCGTTGTCGGGCGTGAGCCTGACGAGAGTATGTACCATTTTCTGAAAACGTTTCACTTCAGATTCGCCACATCCATAGTTTTTGTGCTGAATTGTTGCTCGTATCGATTGGGTCTATACTTGGTCGTCAATAGCATTATGCTGCCGCTGCGAGTTCTCAGGTATGTTCAGCATTATATTTACTGCGCA